TCCCCATATTGAGTTAATTTTTGTACATAGTGTGAGGTAGGGATCTAAATTACTCCTTTTGTGGGTGGATATCCATTTATCCCGGTACTATTTATTGAAAGACTATTCTTTCCCCCATTGAATGGTCTTGGCACCCCTGAAAATAAATTAACCATATATGTATGGGTTTATTGTGGACTCTCAGTTCTGTTCCATTGATCTATATGTCTGTCCTTATGCCAGTACCACCCTGTCTTGATTACTGTGGCTTTGTATTAAGTTTTGAAATTATGTACGAGTCCCACCAACTTTGGTCTTCTTCAAGACTGTTTTGTCTATTCTGGATTCCTTATGATTCCATGTGAATTTGAGGATCAGCTTGTCAATTTCTGCAAAAAAAGCCAGCTGGGATTTTGATAGGGATTGTGTTGAAGTTGTAGATTCATTTGGAAAGTATCGCCATCTTAACAATATTAAGTCTTCAATCCATGAACATGAAGTGTCGTTCCATTTACTTAGGTCTTTAATTTCTTTCAGTGATGTTTTGTAGTTTTCAGTGCACAAGTTATGCACTTCCTTTGTTAAATTTATTCCTAAGTATTTTATTCTTTTTGATGCTATTGTAACTGGACTTGTTTTCTTATCTTCGTTTCTGGATTATTCATTTCTAGTGTACAGGACTACCATTAATTTGTGAATATTGATCTTATATCCTGCAGCTTTACTAAACTTGTTTATTAGTCCTAATAGAGAGTGTGCGTGTGTGTGTGTGTGTGTGTGTGTATATGCTTTAGGGTTTCTATATATAAGATTATATCATCTGCAAATAGAGATGGTTTTACTTTTTCCCTTCCAATCTGGATGCTTTTTATTTCTTTTTCTTGCCTAATTGCCCTGGCTAGAACTTCCAGTACAGTGTTGAATAGAAGTGTTGAGAGTGGATATCCCCGTCTTCTTCCTGATCTTAGAGGGAAAGGTTTCAGTTTTTCACCATTAAATATGATGTTAGCTTATGTGGCTTAGTAGATGTGAATTTTTCATAGATGCCCCTTATAAGGTAGAGGAGGTTCCCTTCTATTTCTAGTATATTGAAGGGGCTTTGAATTTTGTCAGATGCTTTTTATGCATCTGTTAAGATGATCATGTGTGTTTTCTCTTTTATTCTGTTATTATAGTGTATCGCATTGATTGATTTTTTTTTTTGTATGTTGCACCAATCTTGCATTCCTGGGATAAATTCCACTTGGCGATGTGGTATAGACCTTCTTTATATGTTGCTTGATTTGGTTTTGCCTGTATTTTTTTTTTTTTTTTGCGGCACGCGGGCCTCTCACTGTTGTGGCCTCTCCCGTTGCGGAGCACAGGCTCCGGACGCGCAGGCTCAGCGGCCATGGCTCACGGGCCCAGCCGCTCCGCGGCACGTGGGATCTTCCCGGACCGGGGCACGAACCCGCATCCCCTGCATCGGCAGGCGGATTCTCAACCACTGCGCCACCAGGGAAGCCCGGTTTTGCCTGTATTTTTAAAAATTTTTATTTATTTTATTTTTGGCTGTGTTGGGTCTTCGTTTCTGTGCGAGGGCTTTCTCTAGTTGTGGCAAGCGGGGGCCACTCTTCATCACGGCGCGTGGGCCTCTCACTATCGCAGCCTCTCTTGTTGCGGAGCACAGGCTTCAGACGCGCAGGCTCAGTAGTTAGTGGCTCACGGGCCTAGTTGCTCCATGGCATGTGGGATCTTCCCAGACCAGGGCTAGAACCCGTGTTCCCTGTATTGGCAGGCGGATTCTTAACCACTGCTCCACCAGGGAAGCCCAAGGATAACTTTTGAAAAGCCCTTTTAGCATTTGAAGTAGTGAGCTAGTGAGGTTGGTAGGTTATGAGATTTGTTCGTATCTTTTTTTTTTTTAACTTCCATTTTCTGTGCAGGCCTGAAGGCATTGAACGACAGTACAGGAAGAAATGTGCAAAGTAAGTATTAACAGTGTGGGTTTCTCTGAGAATAAGCAAGTAGAGGCAATGATGTGTTAGGAAAAGAATCATTTGGAGACAATTCTCTGTTATATCTTTATCCCTATAATCTTACCTGCCTTCAAACTTCAATTATGCAAATACCAATATGCTTCTTAAAGAGATGCAACTGACCAAGTTACATCTCTGAACGGCTGGCCACAAAAATGGGTTTTTAAACATAGTATTATTTCACTGAGTATTATTTCACATAGTAGTTTTTCACTGAGGTGTAACTTATATATAATAAAATTTGCCCTTCCTAAGTGTACAGTTTGATGAGTGTTGACAGAAGCACAGAGCCATGTAACGTCACCACTCCTGTGACATAGACGTTTCCAGTGCTCCTTTGCAATCAGTCTCCTTCCTCACCCCTCCCCTCGCCAGCACTGATCTGCCTTCTGTTACCGTGGTCTTACCTTTTCTAAAATGTGATGTAAATTCTACAGTATGTGTTCTACTACGTACAATATGTATCTCTTACATCTGGTTTCTTTCATGTTGCCTGATGCTTTGGGGATTCATCTGAGTTGTTATGTGTATCAGTAATTTGTTCCTCTTTATCGCTGAGTAGTAGTCATTGCACCACAGTTTGTTTAACCGTTGACCTGTTGAAGGGCATTTGAGTTGTTAATGGCTTTGGCTATTATAAATAAAGCTGCTATGAACATTCTAGTATAAATCTTGTGGGAACATATGTTTTCTCTTGGGGTGGAATTGTTGGGTCATATGGTAAATGTAACATAGTGTAATTTTTTTTTTTTTTTTTTTTTTTCTTGCGTTGTGCGGGCCTCTCACTGTTGTGGCCTCTCCCATTTGCGGAGCACAGGCTCCGGACGCGCAGGCTCAGCGGCCACGGCTCACGGGCCCAGCCGCTCCGCGGCACGCGGGATCCTCCCGAAACGGGGCACGAACCCGCGCCTCCCGCATCGGCAGGCGGACTCTCAAGCACTGCGCCACCAGGGAAGCCCACATAGTGTAATTTTTAAAAATATTTTTTATTTGTTTTGGTTGCACCGGGTCTTAGTTGTGGCAGGGAGCCTCCTTAGTTGTGGCACGTGGGCTCCTTAGTTGTGCCATGCAAACTCTTAGTTGCAGCCTGCATGTGGGATCTAGTTCCCTGATCAGGGATTGAACCCGGGCCTTCTGCATTAGGAGCGCAGAGTCTTAACCACTGCGCCACCAGGGAAATCCCCACATAGTGTAATTTAATCCAAACTTATTTATAAAGTCTGTTATAGGACTACACACCCAAGAACTTTAGAGACAATTATTTAAAGATATATATGATTTCCAGCTTTAGGTTGTTAACAGTGAGAATATTAAACTATAATAAGTTTAATCTTGTTGATGAATTACAGTTCAATCTTGGCTCTCAGAAGACTCAGACTAGAATTAAAGCAGGGAAATGGCTAAGAAGGCATTTTAGTTTACAGCCACATTAGATTTGTTAGGCTGCTTTAAGCATATCTTATGGGTATGGGTCTACTCCACTTAGCTGAAGAAGTATAATAGAAGTGAGCAACCAGACCTCCCTGGTGGCGCAGTGGTTAAGAATCTGCCTGCCAATGCAGGGGACACGGGTTTGAGCCTTGTCTGGGAAGATCCCACATGCCACAGAGCAACTAAGCCCGCGAGCCACAACTACTGATCCTGTGTGCCACAACTACTGAAGCCTGTGCACCTAGAGCCCGTGCTCTGCAACAAGAGAAGCCACCACAATAAGAAGCCTGCACATTGCGGCGAAGAGTAACCCCCGCTCGCTGCAACTGGAGAAAGTCTGTGTGCAGCAACGAAGACTCAAAGCTGCCAAAAATAAATAAATAAATTTTTAATTAATTTTTTAAAAAAAGAAATGACCAACCAAAGAAAGCATGATGATTGCTACAGAGCTTAGTTGGTAGACCACTGCAGTGGAGCCTTTATGCTCCTTCTTTTTAAAAAATAATTAATTAATTAATTTTAATTTTTGGCTGAGAGGGGTCTTTGTTGCTGCGCGCGGGCTTTCTCTAGTTGCGGCGAGCAGGGGCTACTCTTCGTTGCAGTGCGCGGGCTCTAGGTGTGTGGGCTTCAGTAGTTGAGGCTCGTGGGCCCTAGAGCGCAGGCTCAGTAGTTGTGGCGCACGGGCTTAGTTGCTCTGCGGCGTGTGGGATCTTCCTGGACCAGGACTTGAACCTGTGTCCCCTGCATTGGCAGGTGGATTCTTAACCACTGCGCCACCAGGGAAGCCCTATGCTCCTTCTTGACACTGCAAAAGCCAAACTAGACAGAATCCCCAAGCTAGTTACCCAGACTTCTGGGAATAATGGCAGTAGTTTTAACTGGAAAGCAGTCAGTAGCAGGAGCCAGCGTTTCCCAAACTTGTCTAATTATAAGAATCACTTGGGTTGCTAAGATGGATTCCTGGGCCTCACCCTCCAGAGTTGATGAATCAGGATCCTCTGGGGGAGGGCCCTCAGAATCTGATCAGCAATTTAAACAGGGACTGTCAGTGATTCTTTTTTTTTTTTTAATTTATTTATTTTTGGCTGCATTGGGTGTTCGTTGCTGCACGCAGGCTTTCTCTAGTTGTGGCGAGCGGGGGCTACTCTTCATTGCGGTGCGTGGGCCTCTCATTGCGGTGGCTTCTCTTGCTGTGGAGCACGGGGTCTGGGCACGTGGGCTTCAGTAGTTGTAGCACGCGGGCTCAGTACTTGTGGCTCGCGGGCTCTAGAGCACAGGCTCAGTAGTTGTAGTTGCGCAGGCTTAGTTGCTCTGCGGCATGTGGGATCTTCCTGGACCAGGGTTCAAACCCGTGTCCCCTGCATTGGCAGGCGGATTCTTAACCACTGTGCCACCAGAGAAGCCCAACCGTCAGTGATTCTTATCAAGTAGTTTTGGGAAACACTGGGAAGAGCTAATCATCAGTTTATGCCACAGACACAAATATTCCCAGAGTCTAAGCACACTTTGTGAAGTACCGTTTTGGGGAGTTGGATTCTGAGGCCTCCCTGAGATTCACTGTTCTGTTTGCAGGTGCGGGCTGCCACTCTTCTACCAGTCCCAACCGAAGAACGCTCCTGTGACCTTCATTGTGGATGGAGCAGTAGTCAAGTTTGGCCAGGGTTTTGGGAAGACGAACATATATACTCAGAAACAAGAGCCTCCTAAGAAAGTAATTATCACTGAAGGAGACAGATGGGTTAATATAGCTACAGATTTAGCCCTAAAATTTTAAAGAAGATTATGGTGCATGAGAAACTGCCCTTTATGAGCACTCTCTTTATTAAGAGAATGCCATTTTTGTGTATAAGCAGATGCTACAAAATTGTAACACCTATTATGTGTTCTCTTTTCTTTCCTACATCTGCTCTATGAGTAAGTTAGAAATTGTATGATTTTTATTCACATTTACTTCCTTTGAAATTTCTTCTTCTTCCAGTGTGAGCAATTAAACATTGAATGAATAAGGCTAGTCTTTAAATATACTTTAAAAAACCCTTGATGGCAAATACTAGAAAAATATAATGCAAATTAAAATATGGGTACTTTTAGATAGGCCAGCCCGTCCCAAGGAGGTCCCCTGCCCCCAGGAACCAGGCTTGTACACTTGCACATACCCACTCACACATACACACTCACACACACACGACTCACAGAGCCTCTTGAGGTAAACTAGACTGATTCCTCTTCCTGCAACTCCAGGTGATGATGACGAAACGGACTAAAGACATGGGCAAGTTCAGCTCTGTCACTGTGTCTACTATTGACGAAGAGGAAGAGGAGATTGAGGCTGTAAGTGCTTCTGCTCTCAGGGGAATTGGAATGCGGGGCGGGGGGAGGGGGCTCTCCAACCAGAGCATTGAGTAACAGAATAACTAGAAACTTCGCTCGTAGATCTTGCTCTGCTACTAAGAAACGCTGTGATACCGGGCTCGTTCCTGTTTCCCTGGATCTCAGGGACATCTCTGTAAGATAAGGAGCAGGGAGTTGGACTAAATCAGTCTTTTTTTTTGTTTTTTGTGGTACGCGGCCCTTGTCCTTAATAATTTTGGTGCTCAATTATTATTTTTGTAACATCTTTATTGGAGTATAATTGCTTTACAATGGTGTGTTAGTTTCTGCTTTATAACAAAGTGAATCAGTTATACAGATACATATATCCCCATATCTCTTCCCTCTTGCGTCTCCCTCCCTCCCACAGTAACTTTTTTTTTTTTGCGGTACGCGGGCCTCTCACTGTTGTGGCCTCTCCCGTTGTGGAGCACAGGCTCCGGGACGCGCAGGCTCAGCGGCCACGGCTCACAGGCCCAGCCGCTCCGCGGCATGTGGGATCTTCCCGGACCGGGCCACGAACCAGTGTCCCCTGCATCGGCAGGCGGACTCTCAACCACTGCGCCACCACGGCAGCCCAGTCATTTTTTTCATACTGTTTTTTGAGATGACTTAGGGGGCAAATCCCTCCTCATCCCTCTTCAGTTGAAAAACTACTGGGCTCAGCAATTTCGAGTCCCTTCCAGTCCAGCTCTGATGGTGTGGGAGTCTGTCCTTAGCAAGAGCAGCAATTACCTTTATGGTATTTCAGTACAATGATGTTTACAGAGAGATGTTATCTGTTACTTAAATGTGGTTTCGGTTGAAACCTGACTCTCCTGGATTGTGGAAAAGCTGGAGTTGAAAGGGAGCAGAGCCTTTGCCATTTCAGTAATAATTTCATAATTTGAGGAGCATAGACTTCTCCCGAGGTCTCTGTTGCTCCTCTTTGGTGAGACTGCTGGTCTAAGGGTGCTTCTTTCTTCCGTCAGAGAGAAGTTGCTGACTCGTATGCGCAGAATGCCAAGGTGATTGAGAAGCAGCTGGAGCGCAAAGGCATGAGTAAGAGGCGGCTGCAGGAGCTGGTGAGTGGCGGGGGCGGGGGGTGTCAGGCGCTGGGCTGGACTGTTTGGGTTCCTCGGTCTGAAAGACCCTCCGGCAGGCAGGGGAATCCTTTCGGAAGTCTGTCGGGGTTATGGTGTGGCTGGCTGCCAGGTGTCTAACCGTGGGCCGTGGCTGTCAGTACATACCCTACTTTGGGATAGTGACCACAGGATCCAGGCCCCAAATGATAGTTCTTGTTAGCCAACCCTAACGACAATGATAAGTTAATCTGCTACTTGCGGTCCAAGGTCAGGAGTTCAAGATGGGGGCTCATGGGTGCTCTCCCAGGGTATGAGGCATACAGTGGGGCTACATTGGGGCGCCGGGATTGGGGCTGGTCGCTACTTCTTAAAGCACCGCTTCCACCACCACTGTCTCCACTATTCCCGGGCTCTTTGTTGAGCACACACGTCTATATGTGATGGTGCCTATGTTTCTGTTTTCCTGATAATAAGTTACTTATGATATTTCTTTCAAATCAGACATCCCAGCATTGGTGCCTCATCGAAAAGTATACCAGCCTATTCTACTGGCTGTAAAGGAGTTTTTGCTGACAGAGGCAGGGGGTCTTGAGAGCTGCTTTACCTTGCCGTAGTGATCTAGAGCACTGCTTATCAGATTTTCCGAGGTGAAGGACCAGTGCTTGCTTCTTGTTTTAAAATTTGTCAAGAGTAGATTTGTAATTTATAAAATGCAATAAAAATGAATTTGCCCGAATTCTTCTTATGGGATGATTTTACTTTCTTATTGCTCTGTCAAATTGCTATAAAAGCTTCTAAATGCTTACTCTCAATTTTTGTGTGTATCTTCACGGACTGCACAACCTTAAGTAGCACTGTTCTAGAACAGTGTTCTTCCTCCTGTTCTGCCACAAACAGGATACTGATATGTCTTGATATTGATTCCTCCAGTCCTTCAGGGGTCCTGGAGCTGTGGGATCCCTACACTGATAGACCACAGCCCTGTGTGTTTACCCCTTTTTTACCATACAGATATTATTATCTTCAATGTGTGTCATAACATCAGAAAGGTTGGAAAGCAGTTGCTAGAGTTTCATCGCAATTTTAGAAACACGGTTCTAGTTTGTATACTAAATGAGCATGAGGGGATAGTGTTGGGGCAGTTAGAATAAGGCAGGAAAATCGGAATTTCATGTCATGTATCAAGACATATACTTTTCTTCCTTTCCAGGCTGAACTGGAAGCCAAGAAAGCGAAAATGAAGGGAACCTTGATTGACAACCAGTTCAAATAATCAGGACCTTTCTGTGAACCCAGACTGGAGGCAAGCATTTAGATGAGGAGGAAAAAGAGTCTTTTCTTGACTACATGGACTGGTTCCTACATTTATGCCCCAGCAGAAGGCTTTACGTGGCTTCCCAGTAATTCTACATTCAGTGAGGTCTTTTTTTTTTTTTTTTTTTTTTCTCCTACATTCAGTGAGGGCTTTTTTTTGCGGTATGCGGGCCTCTCACTGCTGTGGCCTCTCCCATTGCGGAGCACAGGCTCCAGACGCGCAGGCTCAGCGGCCATGGCTCACGGGCCCAGCCGCTCCATGGCATGTGGGATCCTCCCGGACCGGGGCACGAACCCGCGTCCCCTGCATCGGCAGGCGGACTCCCAACCACTGCGCCACCAGGGCCCTCAGTGAGGTCTTTGAGTTCATCTGACCTGCCTCCTAGAGATGGATTTTTCTCAGTCTTTCTGTGTGTAGGTCTCTTCTGTACTGTTTTTTGTCCACTTGATATAAACTTCTTCATCTGTGTAGAAGCTCTGTGAATAGATCAGTGCTTCAGTGTGTCTGGTTTCTGAAGGAGCTATTCTTACTCCTTCTTCAAAGTTAATAAAATGTTTAAAGATTTTTGAAAAAAAATATGATGGCATAGAAAAAAGTAACATGAATTACATTTAAAGTTACAGCAAGCCAGATCCTTTTAAGTGGCTCTGTCTCTGTTCTTAGACTGGCAGGTATTGGCTAGGGTTTGAATCTCTCTACTGTCAGAGAAAATCCATAACAAGCCAGAATCTGCGTGAAGTTTCCTTTACCTCACATGTTAAAACTCTAGGTACACCAACCCTTATCAGATGTTGTACATACAGAAGGAAAAGCCAGATTCAAGTGAGGGGGTAGGATAGCTCTGATCTGAATGAAAATGGGGTCTTGGTAAGCAACCCAAGGGAGCTACCATCCTGTCAAGCAGCTAAGAACGTTGCTTCCATGTGTGGGCACGTGGGAGGGAGACATGGTAGAGTAAGAAATGACACCGACTCTAGGTCCATCCACCTCATTACAAATAGCTCAATTTCGTTTCTTTTTATGGCTGAGTAATATTCCATTGTATATATGTGCCACATCTTCTTTATTCATTCATCTGTTGATGGACACTTAGGTTGCTTCCATGTCCTGGCTATTGTAAATAGAGCTGCAATGAACATTGTGGTACATGACTCTTTTTGGATTATGGTTTTCTCAGGGTATATGCCCAGTAGTGGGATTGTTGGGTCATATGGTAGTTCTATTTGTAGTTTTTTGAGGAACCTCCATACTGTTCTCCATAGTGGCTTTATCAATTCACATTCCCACCAACAGTGCAGGAGGGTTCCCTTTTTGCCACACCCTCTCCAGCATTTATTGTTTCTAGATTTTTTGATGATGGCCATTCTGACCGGGCTGAGATGATATCTCATTGCAGTTTTTTTTTTTTTTTTTTTTTGCGGTATGAGGGCCTCTCACTGCTGTGGCCTCTCCCGTTGCAGAGCACAGGCTCCGGACGCACAGGCTCAATGGCCATGGCTCACGGGCCCAGCTGCTCCACGGCATGTGGGATCCTCCCGGACCGGGGCACAAACCCGCGTCCTCTGCATCGGCAGGCGGACTCTCAACCACTGTGCCACCAGGAAAGCCCCTCTCATTGTAGTTTTGATTTGCATTTCTCTAATGATTAATGATGTTGAGCATTCTTTCATGTGTTTGTTGGCAATCTGTATACCTAGAGTCTGTCATACAGAGTGAAGTAAGTCAGAAAGAGAAAAACAAACACCATATGCTAACACATATATATGGAATCTAAGGAAAAAAAAAGGTCATGAAGAACCTAGGGGTAAGACGGGAATAAAGACACAGACCTACTAGAGAATGGACTTGAAGATATGGGGAGGGGGAAGGGTAAGCTGTGACAAAGTGAGAGAGTGGTATGGACATATATACACTACCAAACGTAAAATAGATAGCTAGTTGGAAGCAGCCGCATAGCACAGGGAGATCAGCTCGATGCTTTGTGACCACCTAGAGGGGTGGGATAGGGAGGGTGGGAGGGAGGGAGACGCAAGAGGGAAGAGATATAGGAACATATGTATATGTATAACTGATTCACTTTGTTATAAAGCAGAAACAAACACACCATTGTAAAGCAATTATACTCCAATGAAGATATTAAAAAAAAAAAGAAATGACACCGAGATAAACAAAAGTTATCTGTTGACTGTCTTTTATTTCACATTTGCTATTTGTGGAGTGTCGTATGCATAAATATTTAATGTCACACTGCTTCAGTGACATTAGTATGTAGTGTTTGTACCCATGTTTTTATCTGTTCACCTGTATTGCAAGGTGTTGGGACAGGAGGAGTGTTTTAGCCTCTTCGTATTATTTACATGGCTTGGGTGCTTAGTAGGCACCCAAGGCATGTATGTGAGGTGCTGCTGGGAAACAGTAGGGCATTTTTCTTTGCTTTTTTCTCCCCAATTTCTGAATTTGGAAAGAAAAGTAGGTTAGAGTGGGGGTAGATGTGAGCTAGCAAGAACTGGGAGAAAGAGGGGTGCGGGGTCCTGCTAAAGCCCGGGGTGGGGCTGTGTGTCCAGCTTCCCAGTTACTCTCCTGCATCCAATGGGGGCTTTGCAACTGAGTCTTCCTCTCCACCTCATTTCCTGGTCCTCATGTTGAGAGATAATTAGGCATCGTGTGGATAAGCAACCATAACCTCCTCACAATTCCTTGACCACAACTCCAAACAATGACCTTTACCTTCACCCCCCTTTAGCCACAAACTCCTTGGATATCATCTACACCACCTGTGAGAGCCAATACTCTGCTTTGACCACAGCCTCCTACCATTGCTGCTCTTTCATACTTACTTCCACCGAACCTGTTTTGTTTTGTTTTTAGATTTGAAGAGAGATTATTATTTTTTTCATTGAAGTATAGGTGATTTACAATATTGTGTTAGTTTCAGGTGTACGACAAAGTGATTTGGTTATACATACATATGTATATATCTATATTTTTTCTATTCTTTTCCATTATAATTTCTTATAAGGTATTGAATATAGTTCCCTGTGCTATGCAGTAGGACCTTGTTGTTTATCTATTTTATATATAGTAGTGTGCATCTGTTAATCCCATACTCCCAATTTATGCACCCACCCGCCCCCCTTTGGTACCCATAAGTTTGTTTTCTGTGTTTCTGAGTCTGCTTCTGTTTTGTAAACAAGTTCATTTGTACTATTTTTTAGATTCCACATATAAGTGATATAACATTTGTCTTTCTCTGCCTGGCTTCACTTAGTATGATAATCTCTAGGTCCATCCATGTTGCTGCAAATGGCATTATTTCATGCTTTTTTACGGATGAGTAATATTCCATTGTATATATGTACCACATCTTTGTTACCCATTCATGTGTCCATGGACAGTTAGGTTGCTTCCATGTCTTGGCTATTGTTAACAGTGCTGCAGTGAACATTGGGGTGCATGTATCTTTTCAAATCATGGTCTTCTCTAGATATATGCCCAGGAGTGGGATTGCTGGATCATATGGTAACTCTATTTTTAGTTTTTAAAGGAACCTCCATACTGTTTTCCACAGTGGCTGTAACTAATTTACATTCCTACACCCTCTCCAGCATTTATTATTTGTAGACTTTCTGATGATAGCCATTCTGACTGATGTGGGGTGATACATCATTGTAATTTTGATTTGCATTCCTCTAATAATTTTTGAGCATATTTTCATGTGCTTTTTAGCCATCTGTATGTCTTTTTAAAAGAAATGTCTATGTAGATCTTCTGCCTATTTTTTGATTGGGTTTGGATTTTTATTATTGAGTTGTATGAGCTGTTTATATATTTTGGAAATAAAGCCCTTGTTGGTCACATCATTTGCACATATTTTCTGCCAGTCCATAGGTTGTCTTTTTGTTTTGTTGATGGTTTACTTTGCTGTGCAAAAGCTTATAAGTGTGATTAGGTCCCATTTGTTAATTTTCGCTTTTATTTCTATTGCCTTGGGACTGACCTAAGAAAACGTTGCCATGATTTATGTCGGAATGTTTTGCCTATGTTCTCTTCTAGGAGTTTTATGGTGTCATGTTTTATATTTAGGTCTTTAAACCATTCTGAGTTTATTTTTGTGTATGGCATGGGGGTGTGTTGTAACTTCATTGATTTACATATGGCTGTCCAGCTTTCCCAACACCACTTGCTGAAGAGACTGTCTTTTCTCCATTGTATATTTTTGCCTCCTTTATCAAAAATAAGGTGACCGGGGCTTCCCTGGTGGTGCAGTGGTTGAGAGTCCGCCTGCCGATGCAGGGGACACGGGTTCGTGCCCCGGTCCGGGAGGATCCCACATGCCATGGAGCGGCTGGGCCCGTGAGCCATGGGCGCTGAGCCTGTGCACCCAGAGCCTGTGCTCCGCGATGGGAGAGGCCACAGCACTGAGATGCCCGCGTACCGCAAAAACAAAAAACAAACAAAAAAAAACAAACCATGATTGGGAACAGATCACACTTTTATTCTGAGCCATCAAGTAAAGTGCAATGTAAAGACGCTTGCATAGAGGACTCCCTGTAGCAAATGCGTGGTTACCTTTCTACATATTTTCTGAAGTATATGCCTTTAGATGATAATCCGGAACCATTTCAACATCTGGTTCAACTTATGCATTTTATTTCATCTTTAAGACTCTGCAAATTGTTATGTCACTAGCACCAAACAAGCAAGTGCTCTTCATTGTGTTTTATTCTTTCATGTTGAAGTAGTTATTAAAATAACATGACATAGTCTCTCTGTTCTATTTAGTTGTAGTGTTTTAACCACAAACACAGTGTTTTAGAGTTAGTATAAAGAGCCATATTGAAAATTTGGAGCGTCTTATTCTATTTTTTTGTTTGGTTTGGCAAATTCTTGAGTGTGATAATATAGTAAAATGTTTTAAAATGTTGCCACCGCAATAACTGTTTACATTGGGAAGTGTAATTTTATTGTTTAAGAGAAATTGAAAAGCTATTTATTTATTTATTTATTGGCCATGCTAGGCAGCTTGTGAAATCTTAGTTCCCTGACCAGGGACTGAACCTGGGCCCTGGCAGTGAAAGCCTAGTCCTAACCACTGGACCACCAGGGGATTC